CTCGGGTGTGGACCAATCAACTTCAAGGACAGTGCACATTATCAGAGTTATGTTCTTTTGTTTGTATTATGACTGCAGGTATTGCGGTCTATGCAAACATGACTCCTTGCAAAAAGGTGTCAGTTTTGTTGCCAGATAGAAGGGTAAAGAACCAATTATCATATTTTTTACTGGCAAATGAGGTCCCCATAGTGTAGATGCTTGCCCCGAGCTCTCATACTCTGATGGTGCATTGTCCTTGAGTTGTGCGCCTTTTGGCGTCATCTGGTCCAACCCATATGAGACTAGGCTCGAAGGAAAGCTGTCTCGGGTGTGGACCAATCAACTTCAAGGACAGTGCACATTATCAGAGTTATGTTCTTTTGTTTGTATTATGACTGCAGGTATTGCGGTCTATGCAAACATGACTCCTTGCAAAAAAGTGTCAGTTTTGTTGCCAGATAGAAGGGTAAAGAACCAATTATCATATTTTTACTGGCAAATGAGGTCCTCATAGTGTAGATGCTTGCCCCGAGCTCTCATACTCTGATGGTGCATTGTCCTTGAGTTGTGCGCCTTTTGGCGTCATCTGGTCCAACCCATATGAGACTAGGCTCGAAGGAAAGCTGTCTCGGGTGTGGACCAATCAACTTCAAGGACAGTGCACATTATCAGAGTTATGTTATTTTGTTTGTATTATGACTGCAGGTATTGCGGTCTATGCAAACATGACTCCTTGCAAAAAGGTGTCAGTTTTGTTGCCAGATAGAAGGGTAAAGAACCAATTATCATATTTTTACTGGCAAATGAGGTCCCCATAGTGTAGATGCTTGCCCCGAGCTCTCATACTCTGATGGTGCATTGCCCTTGAGTTGTGCGCCTTTTGGCGTCATCTGGTCCAACCCATATGAGACTAGGCTCGAAGGAAAGCTGTCTCGGGTGTGGACCAATCAACTTCAAGGACAGTGCACATTATCAGAGTTATGTTCTTTTGTTTGTATTATGACTGCAGGTATTGCGGTCTATGCAAACATGACTCCTTGCAAAAAGGTGTCAGTTTTGTTGCCAGATAGAAGGGTAAAGAACCAATTATCATATTTTTACTGGCAAATGAGGTCCCCATAGTGTAGATGCTTGCCCCGAGCTCTCATACTCTGATGGTGCATTGTCCTTGAGTTGTGCGCCTTTTGGCGTCATCTGGTCCAACCCATATGAGACTAGGCTCGAAGGAAAGCTGTCTCGGGTGTGGACCAATCAACTTCAAGGACAGTGCACATTATCAGAGTTATGTTCTTTTGTTTGTATTATGACTGCAGGTATTGCGGTCTATGCAAACATGACTCCTTGCAAAAAGGTGTCAGTTTTGTTGCCAGATAGAAGGGTAAAGAACCAATTATCATATTTTTACTGGCAAATGAGGTCCCCATAGTGTAGATGCTTGCCCCGAGCTCTCATACTCTGATGGTGCATTGTCCTTGAGTTGTGCGCCTTTTGGCGTCATCTGGTCCAACCCATATGAGACTAGGCTCGAAGGAAAGCTGTCTCGGGTGTGGACCAATCAACTTCAAGGACAGTGCACATTATCAGAGTTATGTTCTTTTGTTTGTATTATGACTGCAGGTATTGCGGTCTATGCAAACATGACTCCTTGCAAAAAGGTGTCAGTTTTGTTGCCAGATAGAAGGGTAAAGAACCAATTATCATATTTTTACTGGCAAATGAGGTCCCCATAGTGTAGATGCTTGCCCCGAGCTCTCATACTCTGATGGTGCATTGTCCTTGAGTTGTGCGCCTTTTGGCGTCATCTGGTCCAACCCATATGAGACTAGGCTCGAAGGAAAGCTGTCTCGGGTGTGGACCAATCAACTTCAAGGACAGTGCACATTATCAGAGTTATGTTCTTTTGTTTGTATTATGACTGCAGGTATTGCGGTCTATGCAAACATGACTCCTTGCAAAAAAGTGTCAGTTTTGTTGCCAGATAGAAGGGTAAAGAACCAATTATCATATTTTTACTGGCAAATGAGGTCCTCATAGTGTAGATGCTTGCCCCGAGCTCTCATACTCTGATGGTGCATTGTCCTTGAGTTGTGCGCCTTTTGGCGTCATCTGGTCCAACCCATATGAGACTAGGCTCGAAGGAAAGCTGTCTCGGGTGTGGACCAATCAACTTCAAGGACAGTGCACATTATCAGAGTTATGTTATTTTGTTTGTATTATGACTGCAGGTATTGCGGTCTATGCAAACATGACTCCTTGCAAAAAGGTGTCAGTTTTGTTGCCAGATAGAAGGGTAAAGAACCAATTATCATATTTTTACTGGAAAATGAGGTCCCCATAGTGTAGATGCTTGCCCCGAGCTCTCATACTCTGATGGTGCATTGCCCTTGAGTTGTGCGCCTTTTGGCGTCATCTGGTCCAACCCATATGAGACTAGGCTCGAAGGAAAGCTGTCTCGGGTGTGGACCAATCAACTTCAAGGACAGTGCACATTATCAGAGTTATGTTCTTTTGTTTGTATTATGACTGCAGGTATTGCGGTCTATGCAAACATGACTCCTTGCAAAAAAGTGTCAGTTTTGTTGCCAGATAGAAGGGTAAAGAACCAATTATCATATTTTTACTGGCAAATGAGGTCCCCATAGTGTAGATGCTTGCCCCGAGCTCTCATACTCTGATGGTGCATTGTCCTTGAGTTGTGCGCCTTTTGGCGTCATCTGGTCCAACCCATATGAGACTAGGCTCGAAGGAAAGCTGTCTCGGGTGTGGACCAATCAACTTCAAGGACAGTGCACATTATCAGAGTTATGTTCTTTTGTTTGTATTATGACTGCAGGTATTGTGGTCTATGCAAACATGACTCCTTGCAAAAAGGTGTCAGTTTTGTTGCCAGATAGAAGGGTAAAGAACCAATTATCATATTTTTACTGGCAAATGAGGTCCCCATAGTGTAGATGCTTGCCCCGAGCTCTCATACTCTGATGGTGCATTGTCCTTGAGTTGTGCGCCTTTTGGCGTCATCTGGTCCAACCCATATGAGACTAGGCTCGAAGGAAAGCTGTCTCGGGTGTGGACCAATCAACTTCAAGGACAGTGCACATTATCAGAGTTATGTTCTTTTGTTTGTATTATGACTGCAGGTATTGCGGTCTATGCAAACATGACTCCTTGCAAAAAGGTGTCAGTTTTGTTGCCAGATAGAAGGGTAAAGAACCAATTATCATATTTTTACTGGAAAATGAGGTCCCCATAGTGTAGATGCTTGCCCCGAGCTCTCATACTCTGATGGTGCATTGCCCTTGAGTTGTGCGCCTTTTGGCGTCATCTGGTCCAACCCATATGAGACTAGGCTCGAAGGAAAGCTGTCTCGGGTGTGGACCAATCAACTTCAAGGACAGTGCACATTATCAGAGTTATGTTCTTTTGTTTGTATTATGACTGCAGGTATTGCGGTCTATGCAAACATGACTCCTTGCAAAAAGGTGTCAGTTTTGTTGCCAGATAGAAGGGTAAAGAACCAATTATCATATTTTTACTGGCAAATGAGGTCCCCATAGTGTAGATGCTTGCCCCGAGCTCTCATACTCTGATGGTGCATTGTCCTTGAGTTGTGCGCCTTTTGGCGTCATCTGGTCCAACCCATATGAGACTAGGCTCGAAGGAAAGCTGTCTCGGGTGTGGACCAATCAACTTCAAGGACAGTGCACATTATCAGAGTTATGTTCTTTTGTTTGTATTATGACTGCAGGTATTGCGGTCTATGCAAACATGACTCCTTGCAAAAAGGTGTCAGTTTTGTTGCCAGATAGAAGGGTAAAGAACCAATTATCATATTTTTACTGGCAAATGAGGTCCCCATAGTGTAGATGCTTGCCCCGAGCTCTCATACTCTGATGGTGCATTGTCCTTGAGTTGTGCGCCTTTTGGCGTCATCTGGTCCAACCCATATGAGACTAGGCTCGAAGGAAAGCTGTCTCGGGTGTGGACCAATCAACTTCAAGGACAGTGCACATTATCAGAGTTATGTTCTTTTGTTTGTATTATGACTGCAGGTATTGCGGTCTATGCAAACATGACTCCTTGCAAAAAGGTGTCAGTTTTGTTGCCAGATAGAAGGGTAAAGAACCAATTATCCAATTTATTGTGTACGTATAATTGAGGGCATTATTTATAACCAGCCAATGACTTACAAGCAAGAGTTATATATATCTTAGCCTACTCTCGATGTCAAGCACCAATGTCACCTTGCCCTCATGAAGATGTATGCTGTCACTTCATTTATTTATGTTCTTGATGTAAAACAATGTTGAGGGCAAATGGTAATTATACGTAAAAAAACATCTTTTTTAAACAGAGCATGGTCACTTTTACCCCTCATGTTGAATTGCAAGAATATAAAAGTCCACATTGAGAGAGACTGTTAACTGACATTAATGAAATTTGTCCATTTAACACGTAGAAATTTGTCCATGCTTATTTTTTCATACTCTGCATGATTTTACACTGAAATGATGATTACTGATGGTGGGGACTCGTGGTCAATATTGGCAGGGCTCAGATGCACTTCTCTGATCTTGAGCTTCCTTATTAATTTCACTGTACGTACTCCATTCCTTCAAGTCATAGAACAGCCTTTTGCCTTTTTTACATTTGGCCTCTTTCACGTCATCCGTTCTCCCAGAAGCCCCTTCTTTAAACTTTCACCTCTAAAAATGTGCCCAATCCACATACAGTTCCTTTTATGCAGTGTTATAATTAGTCTTTCCTCCTCTTAGGCCTGTTCTAGAACACTGTGGTTCACCCTTCTGACATGGTATTTAAAACTTGGGAAGCGCTTTAGATGGTATTTAGTGAACGTGGACCATTGGATTAACGTTGGACCAATGGTGGCCCAACAATTAAACCACATTACCAATGTTGGCCCAACGTTGCATGTTTTATGGGATGCCGCAGTAGCTGAGTGTGCAATTTCCCTGTCCAATGCCGATCGTGGGTTCTTGTTGAATCCGTTTACCTTCCAGGAGTACGGAGCAGTGTTTTACGAGTGCAGCGCGAGACTGGCACTGAACATAGAGGAACCCATCGCGCACATGGCCAGGTGAAACAAACTAACAGGCATGAACATGGCTTGTACTGTATAGACGATAATGTGCTGAGGTGGTCCTACAATTGCATGCTACAAGGTGGCATGCATAGAGGGAAGTACAGTAAGTCGGTTGTCAGCCTTGAGAATTCGAGTGATATCTCTTTGTCGCTAAGTTTGGTAAATTCCCAAGCAGCTCAGATACTTTTGAGGCTTTCCTGAGTAATTATACATGAATAAAAAAAAATAATGATTCATATTTCCTACGTTGTTAAAATATGTTAACCTGAAATTAGCCATATGCACACACACACACACTGCAGTGGAATTTTCACATAGCCCCATTAACGAGACAATGGTGATCACTGAATAACCAATATCAATCATCATTGCCATTGCAAAGAGTAGGCTTTGTGAAGCCTATTACTATTACAATAGTGACATAAATTTAACTGCTTGCCATTGGGAAATTGGCAGAATGTCACGTAAAATAATAAATATTAACCCCCGTTTCTATACCAGTTTTAAAAACCTACCTTCATTATTTAAAGGTTCCAATGTCATGACTACTTGGATTGCCAAAGCCACAAGCCAATTATATGAAGACCAAATTGCGGCTCTGTCCCGATTAATTGAACAGTTATGGCCTTGGCTTGTTCTTGCAATAGAAAAGATTCAGCATTAGTCTGGCCCTTAGCAATTACCCTTTATAGTACATAACACTGGCCCAGAGGTTGTCCTTTGTGATAAACATAGGACATGTGCATTAGGGTGGAGTGGTGGCACAGTGGTTTGCGCACTCTACCACAAACTCTGCGATCGAAACACATTGGTCATTTGGCGCTGCCTTAAAAATAAAATTATATAATAGGTGACATTTCGGGGAACGGCGATCTTAGCTCAATTCATGTCCATGGCTACAATCAATGATATTTGAACTGGCTCTGGCTCTCTCCTCTTGCTTCACCAACCCACACTGACCAACTGGAAGTATGGGGGTCAAACAACCTCCTTGAGCGACGCCGTGCGTGGAAGTATTCCTGCAAGTGTTTTGACAACGCACTGTAAATTAATATTTTATCATTATTAATATTCTTATATAAATGGGATCATGACGCAAATGATTCAGAGCCTAATCAAATTTTGCTATGGGTAAACAGGTGTGCGTTGGAGCTTCAAATCTGTGAATACAAAATCTCTATCGCAGAGCATTTTACATTTTCCTTTCATGTATATCGATGTGTTACACAAAGATACACACGGTAGTTTCAACACTTTATTTCATACATTTCTTCAGATGGTTCTCAGTCCATGCCTTTTAAATTATTTTTGTTTGATTCATTATGTGCCTTGCTCTCCCTACAGGTTACTTACGGAACAGGAGGACAGGCACAAGGAGAAGGTGCTGCACCTGCCAGAAAAGTTTTCCGGAGTGAGGAGGCAAAGTGAGAGGAAAAACCAGTGCTGTGCTTAGCAAGCAACTCTGGCAGTTGCATCCGGCGTGAAAATGTGGCTGAACAAACCCCCAGTGTGTGCAGCTGCTGTTTATTCATGGGGTTAACAGTAAATTAAACGCAAATGTTCTAGCTACGGGTGTTTAAGTGCAAGGTACGTATAATGTCATATGATAGCGCACATATGCATGTGTCAATAATGGAACAAATACCGCTCAAGTATTGGTGGCGTGCGCCGGTGCAGTACGTGATAGGGTTGTAACGATGTATGAACAATATTATAAATCTGCTGTATGACTCCATCCATGAAAATGTTAATTGGAAGGCGTTCCAATTATAGGAGCTACTGGCAACTTTACAGAGGGTAACAGGTCTGCAGACAGCAGTTTTACTGTACAGTATTTTTATTTGTATATGCTTAAATTAGTTATTGCGAACCTCTGCAATCACTCGAGGCATTTACATTAATAGCACTCTTCAAAAACAAATTGATCCTTAAATTAAATTATGAGATTGCAATGAATTTAATTTCTGGGTAAAGGGAGAGAATCGTTACACCCTTTGATATTTGCCATAGGATCAAGAAAGAACATATTTCTGCTGCAAGCAATGTTTGAGCATAGGTTTAACTTATTTTTTTGACTAAAATTAAGCTTGTTAAGTATCGCTTTACAGTCGGTTTCGCATTCATCTGAAGTCACAGCTAGTGCAGGACTGTACGTAGTTTGCTCACAGTATTAATTCACATGCCTTGCTGGTTCAAGTCAATGTTGTTTTGTCCAATGCAATGTAATACAAAAAAAATGTTTCTCCTCTAAAACAGCACGATAAATTCAAGATGTATTTTTAAAAAATCGAGACTGAAAATTACTGCAAATTGCTATTTTGTTGATATATTGTTGTCTCAATGTTACCGGTTTGCGTTGTAACCAGTGTTTGTGTATATTTGTTTAAAATCTACTTGAACAAATTTTGTACATGTTCAGCCTGTTTTGTAAAATCCACTTTAAGACGAGGGCCTCCCCATTCCTTGCGGGCCAGCCGTGAGGGGTGTTTGACCACCATAGTTCATGCTGGTCAGTGTTGGTTGGCGACGGTGGGGATAGTGCAGAACAGTGGATTTTTATATAGTGACCCCTACTGCCCACAATGCCTATTACAGTATTTGTTTCAGGAGCAGCGGAATGTATCTCCATCGTATTTGCAGATCGGGCATTGCGTTGTTTAATGTTGTATGGTCTGTTCTGGATGATCACAGTCGCACAATGGAGAGTTTTAAAATGTCCATTTGTGCATCAAGTATCCGCATCTGTCATTGGTTAGTGCACATGCGATTTTGGGTGGACCTAAACCCAAGGATCTTTTGTGTTTGTTCTGTCAAGAGGTGTTTGTGAGTTATTTTGAATTCTAGATTTGAAGCTTTCGTGACGCAAGGATTCATACTCTTAGGTTTTTTCGGTAAAGTCACGTAGGTAAAATAATGCAAATAAAATAATAATACGTTACAGTAATTTTACTGGAGCAGTTACACCTGATGACGGAGGCTTGTGTTGCTTCCGAAACGTCGTGATTTAATTTAGTTATTTTCATTTATTATCATTATTTTATTATTATTTTACCTACGTGACTTTACCGAAAAATCCTAAGAGTATAGTTGTTTTGAACTCCATTCAGTTCTCCAGGCTAAATCAGGGTTGAATTCACATTGTTTAAGGTTCAGCGCATGGGTGCAAATGGGCTTGCGTGACTTCAAGCAATAACGAGAGATGTTATTGAGGTAGTGACCACCATACACCTGTTTGGTGGTCACCCATCTAAGCACTCTCCCGACGAACCCATCCAAGACTATCAAAAAATTATGGGTTATATGTAGTCATCGTGAACAAAAATTTAAACAATGAAATTATTAACAATTTTAAAGTTCACAAAAATAACTCTTAGCCATGTGAAACATGAATTATACAATTTCTGGCGAGAAAGTATGTCCATGTTACAATTTATTTTCCATATTTTGCTCACACTCCAAACCATTAGCCAATAAACATTGAGAAAGCTCGTTGTAATGCATCTTGTATAAGGCATATACTTCTATTGCTGGATACTAACCAAATCCCTCTAAAACCACCATACGCGCTTTCCACACGAACAATCGTACAGCAAATTCCACCCTTGATGTGTGCTTCTGTGGTAGCTCAGTTTGCTATAACCCCACTCCCAAGATATCTATAGGTTATCATGGATAGAACCCTGATCTTCAAGCCCCACATAAAACAGATCTGTAAAAAGAACAAATCAATAATGTCCTTGGTATATAAAAAAAAAACTTGTAGGAACGACCTAGGGCATCTCAGCTGATGTGCTGCAAACTGCTCTACTCAGAATATCGTTCCCCTGCCTGATCTGAGAGCTCGTACACAAAACTGCGAGATGCACAATTCATTAACGCAATGCACATCATTATTGGAACACTGACATCAATCTCCTGACTCCCTGTTCCGGCGAACATTCGACCACCAAAAATCCACAGAGACATGCAAACTGTAAAGGGAGTTTACACGTGACAACTACCTACCCATCAACCAAGACCTCAACAATGTCCCTCTCCCAACTCCAGTACTGTCACCATCCAATAGTCTCACCCAGATCAGGTAGAACTCCGGCGAACAGAGTGGAATAACACCCAGAATAAACCCCTCATTCCAAACCCGAACATCGCACCTTCTAAGGTTTGAGATTTCTCAAAGACACTGGTGTAACCATCAACCGCAATAGAACATCAACAGGCTGCTGTGCACATCTTCATAAATGGACAATCAAAGGCACGCCACAGTACGACTGTGGCCATGTAACTCAAACCATGGACAATATATTAAACCACTGCAGTCTGCACTCAAAGCAGGAGGAGGGATAGCAAAACTAGAGGAACTCTTTCCTGAATCCCTCCCGTAGCTCTCACATCTCAACATTGGCATTTAGCTCCTGAACATGTTGCCATCATACGCAACAATAGAATAGTGTAAAAGCCGTATGGTTTGAAATCTGTACCTTCCTCTTGCGTTGCATTGCAGTTTCCATAACTTGGTCACTGCAATTACGGATTATACGCTGTACTGTTCAAATATAAAACATACGTATATGCAGACATTGCAATAGTCACAAGAGATTCAATAAAATGTATATAAAATATTGAGTCTAATACCATAGCGCCATCTGCTGCACATCATTTCGTGATGTAGCGTTTTGTACACGCATGCCATTACTTTTTCCTTTGAATCTGTTTACTTAGCGATGGCTTGTTTAAGGTAGCTTAGAGTAAACACATCTACAACATGTATACATTCAAAACACACACATGAAACACTCAACGGCAGTTGAAACAATGACCACGTTTTTTTTAATTATTAATGTCCCAGCCTCTGTCCACCCAGCAGTATAAACTTGGAGTCGAAGATGACAGCTTTCACGCAGCCCATTCTGTTAAGTGAGAAGACACGACGAATGCTGGCAATGCGGAGACCAAAAACATCGATCTCTCGGTCTCCGGAGCAACAACACAAGCCAAGCCACAACGGCCCTTTTCAGGACCAAACAACACGCCAGAAAGGCCCTGGGACAAGGATCCTCCAAAATGAACATTGAGGGACTCTTTCCGGGCGAAGTGAGAGTATCTCGCCATCGTAATGAAAACCCATAATATTGATGTCCTGACGCTCCAAGAAAACCATGTCTTGGATGCCCTACATGCTAGTCGCGACCACCACCACGGGGTACACCAGTTGTTCATTTGGAAAGTTGCATGTGGTGGGGTCAAATATTGGAACACGCACCTCTTCCAAGTCGTCTGGCCAGGTTCACGAGATCAGGCCAACATAGTCTCGAGGCACTCTTGAGAGGTCCATCTGGTGTAGGCCCGTCCGGGGTGTGAGCATGCAATTGCAGGGCTGCACTTTTACCTCTGCCCTTCAAATATGTAGGCTCAAATGTGTGATAACTTTAACATGACTTTTAACAAGAAATGGGTTTCAAGAGAGTGATATGCTGGCCAAAAGCAATTTGTCAGCATGCACGGTTAAGCAACGTTATGAGGCATTAAATCACAGCACTTTGCAGGTAACCTAAGCTGTTTCAAGAATTACATTCTCTCATAAGCAAGAAAGCCAGCTTGTTGATATACAGTACTAAATTACTTAATTACATTTTTTTTATACGTAACATGTTGCAATTCGTTTTTAAGTACAACGTACTATTCAAATAAATTAGGTAATATTTTGATAAGCAGGTAGGCTAACTCGTAGAACTTTTAAGCTTGCTACACTGCCTCTTTATCATCCCAGATCCTGTCAGGTCTGATTGCTAAAATATGATTTGTACAACTTCGCGGGGTACATTTTTTAAAATATTTCTCACCACGAGGTATAGATGTAAACAGCAGCAGGCAAAATGGCGAGGTGAAGGACAAATTGTTCACCTTGACTGTTTGTAAGTCAATCTCCTAAAAGCATCACAATTGGGAAAGTCAGGCTTTTAGTAACGAGCACACAGCAATAACACGTTTGTTATTCGGCAATTACACTTTCATTTATTGACATAAAGGTGCAGTACGATGATGATTTTGTTGTGTGACGAATGGTTATCACACTGGGCAATGCAGAGGTTGCCAGCTCGATTCGATCTCTCGGATTTACAGTTGAAACAATTGACAATTCTCTTAACCCTTCCCAGCCCCCGTCTCTGTCCACCCAGTAGTGTTCAGAGATGGACAACTTATTTGATTGGTAGGTCACGTGTAGTGGGGTAAAGTGTGAGTATTCTCACTTCTTTTAAGACATCTGCCCAGCGAGAATAAATAGGCAAAACATATCCTCTAGATGGGTTCTCCAGAGTTTCGTCTAATTGATGGTCTTTCTGCCAGCAGCGTCATAAGTAATTGCAGGGCTGCACATTTACTGCCTTGAATCAATGTTGATTACAAAGGGACCTCACCTTCATCATGCACGAGTTGGGGTCGACAACGTTCAGGAGAGACGTTTATGGTGTTATCACCAATACACACGAAATGTCAAAACCATACCCACCCACGTGAATAACTTATGTGTCACCAACACAAGGGTGGCCGGCCTGTACGTCACCACTCATAAAACGAGGCGACATTTCAAAGGGGCAAGAGGACCTAACCACATGCCCACTTCTCGCATGTGATAATGTGGCTGATAACACACGAGGCAGTAAGCCATGTGAAAGTGCACGACTGACAAGTGTTCACGTGTATTATACGTGAAATTTGAAAATACACATTTACTGCACCATCGCCAGTGAGGTTTGCTTGCAATTGGTATTTATGAATTTATATGTATCATCTTCTATGGCAGTGATCTACAGTGTTGCCCAATCTTACAAAATGAAGCTGCCAGGTGTTTATGGCATATCAGATAATAAATTAGATGTATAAATGTCACAACACAGGGTTAATAACGAAATTTAGTACACATATTACAATTTTGGTATTTCACAAAACAAATTCTGAAAGTACTTTAGTATAGACAAACAGTCAAGACGATTGATATAAATACAGTACAAACACTACAACAGGGTAACATTAACTGCTTTAACATATTCACTTTTGTGATACTGCACAAGATACTTATGAAAGAAAATAGGCGCAATCATTAATCAGCCAATTCATGTTCAAACATGAGAACACCATTATATGTTACTTTGGAGAAAACTGTTGGCCAACTTTGAATGAGTAAAGTATTAGTTTTCCTTTGCCAATCATCTATCATGTGCAAATACTACTTCATTATTCACATCATTCCAATGAACTGTTCACAGCACAATCAATGCACTATCTGCTATACCCATAGCATTAGTCAGTCTTTGTGCTCATCAACAGCATTTTGAATGTAGCCAATGGGTTGTATGTAAGCACCGTATGTTGAACTTCTTTCGCACCTTACCTAGCCAACCGTGCTAATCAGAGGTGCGTGCCAATGCTGCTATGCACAAAACTAACCGTGTGCGTTGTGTGGGCGCCCATCTCTAATCTACACCATGTAATTCATCCTGCCGTGTGTAGAACAGAGCTGTCTAAATCAAACACACGCATACCTTCAGGCCATCTGCCATGTTCGCACTGCGACTACAGGAACAAATCAACATTGCCATTTTGCTCCTGAACACATTGCCATACACATCGCTAGAATATGTACTCATGGAGCAAACCACGGTGGTGTGATGTATTTTTCCTCGCCTGGGATGCAGGTGGTCATGGGTTTGATCCCGACCAGGGCGGCTGTATATTTGGAGTTTGCATGCCTCTCTCTAAACGTGTGTATAGATAATTTAGCTGCTATACATTTCCACACGATAAGCCACTGTGTTGAGCTATAATTTGTGGCCAGATATATTCTGAAAAATAAGCTTTACCTCGCAAAATAAAAAAAATTTATGTGCTTTTTTGTGATTTTCTTACATTTCCTATACTTCGCACTCCTATTGCGTTTTTGTATTCCTTGTTGTTGTGACGTTCTGACCTGCATTAATGGACATCTGTGAAAGAGAGTTTTGAAGCTCATCGGATTTCTCCAGCACAAATACAGATTCTGCAAATACAGATTCTGTTCTGATTCTGAGTAAGCGACGCCATGTGGGGTTATGATATATCAGTGCAACAGTAAAGTCTACCATATCTATCATGGTGGAATAGGCTTCAGGTGAAAGCACGTGTGGTCAGAATTAGAAGTATATTTCCCGAGTAAAGCCCTTTGAGCTAAGAAGTTATTTTTAAAGGTTGACTGGGGCCTGCATAAAACATCAAAGTATTCCACAATTATAGATGTATGTTGTAAAATGACATTCATACTTGAACTTGAGTGATTGTAATAGTTTAAATGAGGACAGAGAGGGCAGAATGGAGTAGCCAAGCTAACGAAACTAGATGGTTACAAAACTTTTGGGGCAGCTACATAAAATGCTTTGCTCTAAATTCTGGACGAAATCAGGGAAATATTAACACGATGAATAGACAATTAGACGATCGTCGCAGACTTTTACGATTGTTTAATGGTAATAGCAGGTCAGACAAATAAAGAGCACATCCACCAACAAGGGCCTTGTAAATGAGTGTAGCCCACTGCAGTGAACATTTCTTCTCACGTCCAAGGGCACAAGTCCAGAAGCAACTCCGAAAAATCGAACCTCATTGTGTGCATGGACATTGAAGCCCCACATTACTTGCAGTGCACAAGTGAGTGGCGTTTTGCGTTTAAAATTCACATTCAGGGCTTCAGTTCACCCGGAGCTGCCCGGTGCTGTGCTCCGGAAAATATTTCCCCGGATTTGTCGTGAACGAGGGACCTCGGTTTCGGTCAATCATTCCGGAGAGCTGATCCACAATGATCCACAATGGACAACTTAAAACGTTGTCGTTTCACTGACCTTTTGCAATACATACGGGGGCCATTGACTTATTCACTCAATGCAGACAAAGAGGAAAACCATTGGCATGCAACTGTTTTTTATTTGTTTACCCAGGCCACAAAAAGAAGTCTTTTAAAATATATATATTAATTGTAAGGCTAAAGGAAACACATGTTTAACTCATCACACGAGCCAGAGACGTTATAACACAAATTTTTTTGTTATTTAAAACCGTGACGCGCTCCGTGCTTCCTCCGGCACGGCTTTTTGGACTTCTGCATCCCAAGCGCAGCAGCAAGTAAGAACTTTAGTGGCATTTTACGTGTGACTATGTTTTCGTCTTGAGTTTTAGAATTAGTTCATATTCTCTCTTAACTGGTTAAACAAAAATGTTGGTTAATTTAAACGGACTGTGACCTTTAAACTGGAGTAAGTGCCATTATGATAGAACGACGTCGTTCGCTAGGGCGGTCTCGACTAGTTGCTCCTACGGGCTCCCTGATGCTTTACCCGGCAGGGTGCACTAGGCCGCAGCCGGTCTGGGTCAGCTCACGTTTGCGAAATGCAACTTTGTAAAACGGCTGATGTATGTTGTAACGAAGTTTTTAACCTCGCAGCTCCATAATTTACTTAAAAAACACACAAACGGCTCTGTTGTGTAAACACATTGATGCATTGTTTACGGTGTCTATACAATACACGCTCGCTTTGTCCACTGTGTTAACAGGTGATGTGAATTCCGTTATATTGCTGCTTGCAGTACCGTTGTATTTTAAAAGTTATTGTTTTAGTTTCCCCCGTGACATAAACACAAACTATAAAATGACGCTGTGCTTTATTTCCTTTCCTTCGGCAGCAATATGAGTGGAAGCTTCAGAATGTACGAGGATGAGCATCCCAACGCCTGTGGGACCATCTGTCTCAAATACGTGCTCCTCGTGTTCAACTTAATCTTTTGGGTGGGTTGGTTGTGGCCTTTCGTTGTGGCATTTTGTTTATTGGCATCGTCTACGACCACTCCATGTGAAGAAGTCAAGAGCAAACGTTCAGCGGTGGGGAGAATCATTCTGGTCATGAGGGTGACATTTCTCAACCAAAGGCTGCCAAGATTCGCTTGGAGACATTCTGTATTTGAAAATCGTAATTATATAACTCAAAATGGTAATAGCAAACTTCACAATTAGCTGAAAGTCACGTCGTAAAAGTTTTTTTGGGGTGGGAAACTTATGGTTTATTATACTCCTAATACTTCTACTTAATAATAACTTAATATGATTCACAGTAGGACTGGGCTATTTTTATAAATAAATGTGCTGTAATAAATTACTACACTGATAATTATCGGTTTGATTACGCGCAACTAATTCCATAACATTGACAATACATTCGCACCCCTCTTCCCACTTGTGCCGCTGGACGGGAGGTGATGGGTTGGGTTTGGTGACGTCGTCGATATTGGTCACGTCACACTGGGCATTGCGTGAAGGAGGTTTCCAGCCTTCGGTATGCAGGATGTGCAAGCCACCAAGCTATCAACCACAAAATATCGTGAATTAAAATGTTTAGTCGATTAATTGATTTACTTGACAAATCGGCCCAAGCTTTAATTCACGGTACAATATACAATGTAGTTACAGATGTTGCCATGGCGTTAATGCATCACATTTCGTGTGACTGGTCAGTTGACTGGTGCTGGAGTGATGGCGGTGGGCGTGTGGACATTGGTGGAGAAGGGTGACTATCTCAGCCTGCTGGCCTCCAGCACGTTTGCGGCGACTGCCTATATCCTCATTCTGGCTGGCAGCGTGGTCATGCTCACGGGGCTGCTGGGATGCTGCGCGGTGGTGCGCGAACGACGCGGATGCCTTGCCGCCGTCAGTCCTGCAGTTGTTTGCATGCTACACTCAAGCCACACACTCTGCCCCACTTCCTAATCCTTGGTTTTGTTGAGCCTGTTAATAACGTTGCGTGTGTTAATGTACATTTTTGTCAATCCACTGCTGGACGAGGGCATTCCCATGTTGTGAAAGTTGTGGGAGTGTTGACCATACTTCAACCACTCTGATCAGTGTGGGCTGGTGAAGGCATGATACGAAATGTAGCATGACACAATACAACAATGGATTTTGCTACCCTGCTTGACCACTGACAGCATAGCTCCTGAATGTCGATCGGCCCATTCGAGCATGATCCAGGTTCCAGCTTGCTTAGCTTTTGAGATTTGGTAAGATAGGGCAGATCCCGGGTGATTTGTTCATAGGTTGTGCCTATTAATAACATTCACAGATTGTTCACAGCAGCCTCATTTGGTAAACCTAACATCACCAAACGTGTGTGTTGTTTTCAGGTTCTTGTTTGGATAAGCATGTAGAAATGTAGAAAAGTATTGCTGCAACATAGGAGAATTAACGTTCTTTTTTTTTCAGTACTGTGGCCTCCTGTTGCTCATCTTCCTTCTGGAAGTCATTGCCGGGATTCTTGCTTACCTGTACAGGCAACAGGTATGCTTACAATAGTGAAAGCAATCGCTGACAATGTAGCTCAGAGCAGCTTCTCAGTTGTGAGAATTATTTTATATTTTATTATGTTTTATTTTTATTATTTTATTACTTCCCTTCTACGTGACTTTACCGAAAGAACCAAGAAGAAGCTTCTCAGTTGTTACGCAGTTGTGCATGCAACGGTGATTTAAATCACATCTGGTTTCATTTTAGCATTACATATACATTTACGTAGCCCTGAAGCAAATTCTACTAATCGGACTGAATTCCCAGCATTCCAGTTAAGGGAAAGATTAACAAAACAAGGATTTGCATTGGCCAGAATAGTCAAAATGATGGCTTGTAACAGAATATCGTCCAGCATTTGCCTGAGGGACCACACATTGGTCATTCTCTGCTTTTCATTATAATTAAATTGTTATTTCCTTTGAATTTACTTTTACATTTTGTCATTCTTGTTAATGTGGGTACTTTATATTTTAGGCATCAGCATCTGTGTACTAATTGTATGCTGAATTTTCGCTATTATCTTATAAAATGAAGGCAGTCCTTGATAATTGAGGATTTCTGTATTAGAGCAAGATCTGAAAATTGTAGTGAATAGACATTACATATTTTCCAGTATAACAAGTGACAGCACTGTCGGTTTAATACTGACACATTCTTAAATAGCTGTATTATTTGAATTAAAATACTTTTGGGTTTTCTTTTTATCCCACGAATGTTCATATTTTTGGACCATTAAATAGTTTAATAAGGTCACTTGCTTTAATGAGTGGAGGGTGATAATATGCTTTATTGCCACTTTTTGGGTTTCAACTATTAACTGAATAACAAAAATGTAACGTTCTAATATTGTTTTTATATCCTGCTGTTTTAGTTGAGTGAAGAGTTAAAGAGCCACATGAACAAAACAATTGTGGAGAGCTATGGGCAGCCTGACCAGCAGAGGGTAACTGATGCCATGGATAAACTTCAACAGGAGGTAGGACCCTTTAACCTCGACTGCATGCCAAGCTCTCTGGCTAAGTAAATAATACAAAATGTGGAAGTATTCTCAGTAATTATTTTTTGTTGTACAGACTATTCAAGCTGTAGTTTTATACGCACCAGTGCAGAACGTTTGGGAACATTCTTATATTAAATGTGTATCTACATATTACACACATAGTACTGCAATGTGTTAAATTGTGTCCCATATTCAATTGAGTATTGGGCCATGCTTTGCAGCATTGGCTGTCCTGAGTTAGTGGTAGACATTCCACATTCCAAAGGCAGAGAATAATCTCTCCTTAAGACACAGTTGACGTCATACAAAGTTGTGCTACTTCAGTCTGAAGGGTGATAAATTCATATTCATAACACTGCTATAAATATAAAGTTGCAATGTTAGTACATTGCAATATACAATGCAAAATACAAAGGAAACCAGTTTAAATAAAACAAATGTATTTCATCCTGTATATAGGTTACATTTATGTTGGCTTTTGGCCGACTTCTATGATTTTTATTTTTTGTATATTTAATTACACCATGCTAACGGCTCCCATGAGTTATATAAATGGAAAACCCATCATGTGTTTGGCAGGACTATATGGTCTATTCTTGACTCAGCCCCCCCCCCCTCCAAAGTCAAGCTGATGCACATGGCCACCTAATTTAAGAGAAGTAATCTCAACTTTTGCTTCAAAACACGTCATTGTAAAAATATACAACTGAATATCAATAAATTCCGCAAATCCCTGGCAGTTTCCTCAACCCGTGTAAGTTTCCATTTGCTCCTTTTTTCTAACATACTGTTTATTTCAAAGTTTATGGGAAGGAAAAAAGTACTGTGCAAGAATCTACGATTTGATACTTTGCAAAAATCAGGATCATTAGTTACAAAACAACCATGTGCAATCTGTATGGAATGAAACAGGAAATTCCTAAATTCTTGTAAATGCGTGGTCAGTTGGTGGCAGTATAATAAAGGGAATGTTTTCATTGGAGGAGGAAAATATTTTCTTCAATCCCACGAGGATGGACTGGGTATGTGAAAGCAGCTGGACAATAATTCGTGGCGTTCCAAGAGTCGGCTTGCTCACAACGCCTGGATCATCGGGAGCGTTTAATTTTCTGGGAAAGTTTAATGACGATAATCAACACTAAGACCCCCAACTCATGGGCAGATTATGCCTCCCTTTACAGAGCCTGAAAAACTGCCTTCATATATAAACTGAAAAGTGCATATGATATTCGTAAATGTAACCTATGATGCATGAAAAGTGGCCAATGAGTTTCCCTACGTAAAATTCACAAAGAAGCTGATGTGGCTAGCAATAATATGCCATTGGAAGAACATTACACATTACAAACTAAATCTATGATTACACATGCAAACAATCTGCCTTTAATTCAGGTTTCTAAATCTCATTCAGATTGCAATCGGGTACAGAGAATTTGCATGCAGCATTTAGTCCGCTTCTCACTATAAAATCTTTAGAAAAACTGTGTATACAGTACATAACAAAAATATACATTTTACAAAGAAATGTATGTATTCCGAGAATGGTCATGTTTTGTTTGTTTTGTTTATTAATTAACCCTGGTAGTTTAAGTGCTGCGGGAGCCACGACTGGAATGATTGGCAGCGGAGTGACTGGGTGAAGGTGGCCGCAGCAGAAGGCCGTCTGGTGCCAGACAGTTGCTGCAAATCCCCGACGACACATTGTGGCCGCCGTGACCATCCCTCCAATATCAACAGGGTGGAGGTGGCCCTTTTGCACACTTTATCTTTTTCCGACACTTGATTGTAATGCATAACCCATGAAAGGGTTATATACATTATTAAATAATCAGCATTCATTTGAAAATGGTAGACGCTGGGCATCCACCTTGAAACGTGGGAAACTCCCAACATAGTGCATACCCCGTGTGGCACAGTAACAGTGATGACTAGTGATGACGACAGTTCCATTATCAATAAAATAAGGCTGTACTTCAAACACATGCTCTTAGCCTCGTGTTGAAATAATTTATTTCAACTATATGAAGATTTTTGGTTTAACGTAGGCTTTCGCGACCAATATAATACAGGTTTTTTTTGGGTTAGATCGCGTACATATATGTGTCATTCAACCCGCGATTGTATACGCTCAGTCAAAACAACAATGGGTAGATCGATTATTTCAAAAGTAAATTATAGTTTTACTTGGTTAAAATTTTCAACAACAAATATCCTTTCGTGCATGGTGGATCTGACAACAATGTGGCCATTACAGGATTGGGTTGCTATAGCCAGGTGAGCAACATGGCAATGATCACTCATGTGTGCAGTGTTTGGTCTTAAAAGATACTCCATGTGTACCTCTGCTGCTTTTGGTAGATTTTTTTGGGTAATTTTAATTACACATTAATGACCTGTTTTGGAGTTTTAATCTACCATTTGATTTCAACAGCTATAATACACATGTACACGTGTACATTATATGTAAATGTGATTCGCAACTTTTATCCTCAAAACCAATTGAAGTTAAATGAATTGCTTGTAGAAAATGTTCTAAGTATACTTTTGTCGATGACATTGCTTTTGCCTATTTATTTTATTAATACTGTATTTGTTTACTTCTTGGATAATGAAGGGAATGGTGGTGCAGTGGTGATAACTAATTCATTCGAGTTTGATTCCTGACCAACATTACCGTGAATGGAATTTGATATCTGAACCGGTTCTGTGCATCTTTTCACCAGCGAGGTGAAGTATCGGCAAATAACCCCCATGATTAATACCATATGCAGAGGCCTTCATTCAGCAATAAATGGACATTGGGCTGAACTAAGTTTTTTTTCCTTTTTGTTTTTCACTCTATGGGAATATACTTTTAATAATCAGCATCATATTGGAGCATTGCTTCAGTTACAGAAGGAATATGTGAATGAGTGGCATATAATTTTAGAAGAAATACAGAAGTCTGGCCAAGGGTTGAACAATGCACATGTTTCAGTTTTGTGGTACACTTGAGTCCTTTGAGTTTGAATGAACATGATCTGAGTGCACCAGATCCTTTGTGTACCTTTATTAGATTTTTATATAAAAGTGTTGTGCCTCTGCTGCAGGGTGGGTGCATCACGAAGTTGGAAGTGATATTGCAGGAACATCTGCTGCTCATTGGTGCGGTGGGAATTTGTGTGGCCTGCCTGCAGGTATGACCAGCCTTTATTTGATCATTTGAGATGGATAGTGTCAGTTATTTGTGTAATACAGGTTCATATTCAGTTGAGATAGCTTTACATATTTTGCTCATTTCATACGCATTTTCTTTCTACGTTTTACTGTGATGAAAAAGGCAAATAGCTACCATAACAAAAAGATATATCAATATTCAACTTGAACAGTCTGGTGTTGCATTGCATTGTAAGTTTATCTGTTTCAAATGACTTCAATGTTAACCAAAGCTATACAATATTTTGTTTGTTTTTTAAGTTTTGTATGTTTTTTATTGATGTTCAGAGTATATTGCTTTTTATAAGTGGTTTAAAAAATACGTAGTGTTACAGCAGTTGTTAGCTGGAAAGGGGTATGACTGGGTGGTTCATTGCACACTTGTACTGGTAGGAACCTCCTGGTTACACCAGCCCACAGGGGATTATTGTGTCCGTCCGTCGTGCAGGGAGGGGCTGGGTGGGGCTGGGTGGGGGGTGGGAGGGGTGGGGCTGGGTGGGGAGGGGCTAGTCACCCCGTGGTGCCCTTATAAAACTCAACGTTTAACCTACTCACGCCGGCTTGTGCCCACCCTCACAGTCGGGCATATTTGCGGAATACACCACGCCGCCATTGACCCTGGCCATTGACCGAGCAACCCAACGTTCCTACCAGCTCCCTCCGCAGGAATGTGTAATGTAAAACATTCTCAGACTTATAATGAATAACTTCGGATTGGAAAAACTCTTGCAATTTTATCAAACATCTACGGCCAAAAATTAAATGGTCAAAATGTGAGTGCCATTTTAATAAATCACTTTTATTAGAGAATAATCAAAATAGCAGTTGGAATATATTTTCTTTACAAACCAACCTACCTTGTCAGATTGTACAAGTTATTTTAAATGCTATCTTTATGAAATATTAAACGTATTATAATTTTTTTCCAAAAACCTGACATTCAAATGTTAAAAACAGGAAAAGTATGGTTTGTCTTACTGGCTCCAGAAGTGTTTTAACTAAAAAAACTCATTAATTGCGATACAAAGTAGTATTGCAGTAATACCATATTTGATAAACACACTTATTGTTTCCAGCCTTAAGGTGTGCTTCTCGATTGGTGCCATAATGGTGTAAGGGTATATAAATAAAAAAGACAGGCCTAACAGGATTTTTGAATATTGTTTAATATTCCTATCCATGCTGGTCAGTATGAAAAATAATTCAGAATTCTTCCTCAGATTATAATTGCTAGTCTATGAAAAATATATTCACAGCAATGCAATATTTTTTTATAAAGCATATTTTGCCTGTTTATGGTTTTATCATTGCAGAATGACAGTGTTTATCATTGTATGACATATTTTCAAGTAACAAGTATTATATAATTGTATTTTTGTTGCTGTTCGCAATATTTATGTAAAGTTAAGGGCAATAAGATAAAACCAATTCCATGTGTTAACTTTCATTTAGAAAATTTAAAATCTATAAGTATTAAAGCAACATTTTTTTTCTTAATAAAACTGGGATAATTGAAAGTTTAAAACTATGACTGTTAACACGAGGTTCAAAAACGTGTTGGAGAATGCTGATGGTTCAATGCCTGACCGTAAATAGAAAATTCACAATAACTATCCACAATGACAGTAAAATGCTAGTAAATATGAACAATGCTGCCATATGTATTTGTCACTTCTGTAGCAGTGGAACTGAAAATGAATTGACAGCTAAAAAGCAGGTTACATTGTAACCTCTACTGTAGGTTGTGTTGTGCTTTAAACACAGCCATTTCCTGACCCAGCCCCACATGCTGCTTCCTTCCCTAATTCGGGAATGTTCTTTCAGAAAGTCCCATGTGGGCTTTAGGAGGATGGGCAAGGCAGGTTGCCAGTTTATATGGCTGCACGCACTCAAGTTAAACCTTTTTGTGATTTTTACCAAATTGCTTTACAGTAGCAAGTTTGCTGTTTATTCTTAACTTTTGCTCTCGATATCCCATCACCCTGACTAGTTAGTTGGGGTGGGTATTACTTGTGTATTTATAAAACTACAAACATAAAATATATGTGAGCACAGAAGAGTATCTTCTCCCATAAAATATTTTTAACCATTAAACAATTTCCCTTTTACAGATTACTGTATGTCTTACCCGTTTGGTGTGATGTGCTATCAAGTGTATTCAAATGTGTACTTTAATGTAACTTATACGACTTGCTGTTGTACATTGGTTTTAAGTAGGTTAAAACTTTGCATTTCTTATAATTAACATTGCATTATTACATGTTAGAATGGCCAACATCAACTTTCCGTAAATAAAAACACAACAATGCATGTTTCGATTTAAAGCTTTCGTGACTGCAGGGATTCATCTTCTTGGTTCTTTCGGTAAAGTCACGTAGAATGGAAATAATAAAATAAAACATAATAAAATAATTCTCACGACGTTTCGGCCACAACGCAAGCAGCCGTCCTCAGGTGAAGACCAGGTCTGTCGGGGAGACAGCGTCTACGTGACTTTACCGAAAGAACCAAGAAAATGCATAAATGCTTTAAAGAGGAACGCCATTAAACTGATGAGTGTGCATAATTTCAAACTGTGCAACATTAACCAATCTAAGTATTAAAGAGGTTGCGAGTCATATATTTATTAGCAGTGTTTTAAAGTAACTTTCCATAAAGTGACTATTTGCCAAGTTTGCTGCGTAAAATTCGCATTTTTTTACATTTAGGGCAGACTCGGTAGGTTCAGCAGAGGTCTTCTAATGTAGCTGCAACCAATAAGGAGCCATTGGCGAGACAGCATTGGCTTTGTCAGCTACAGTATATCAAATTAAGTTCATTATATTGTCGTGTATCAATGTGTGGCATAGCACCACCAGTGGGGTGGTGCATTTGCCTATTAAGGCATTTTAATTTCCCAATATCAGATACATTTACTCCTAACCTCATGAACGCTAATGCTTTAGATACGTTTCACATCACTAATCATATTTTGCTGCTGTTGCCGTTATTTATACCAATGTGTCCATTTTTCCTCTGCTTCGCTGTCTGCTCTCTGCCTATCTGCTCTCCGATCCCCAGAGCTCTGCTCTCTCTCATTGGTCTTAACTCTGCATATATCACGAAGCCACTTTGCAGCTAGACTCCTGGATCCACCAATTACATGTGGCAGTGATATCAGCAGGTTTCCGAATGTGAAGCTACATCGCTGCATGCGGGGAACCTTCATTTTGCCAATGATGCTTTAAATCCATCTTTTTCTCTCAACTGCTTAACCTCTCCATGAGGTCACCGTCAACTCAATCCTGCAAATGAACGGATCTGAGTGCTCAATTTCTACGGCGGTGGTCCACATCGGTGTTTTTTTCCCTTCTTTGGCTTCCATGTCATCACTAGTCTTGTCCACCATCCCTTCTAGTTGTGTTCTGCCAAGCCCACCTCTTTCGCTTAAGTTTATACAGTATTTTGTCCGATTTCTTGATTCTCAATATTAATCTTCCTCTTCCTTAGTGCAATAGATTTAACAATACAGAGATGTACAAAATCACCCAGTCTTACTTGGACCACCAACTCAAAAGACTTGTAGCTTTTGTAGTTGTTAAACCGGTTTCCATCCTGCATTGTTGAAGGGTTTTCTGATTATTTAGATTTTAATTATTCGTGCAATTCCAAACATGCACTCTCCATGCTTATTATACTTTAACATGTTTTAACTAAAATGTGTACTCGCCTTTATCGAAAATGGTATTTGGATATAGCAACAGCATAACCTTCACTCCCACAGCGGCAAGATTATAAAAAAAATCTCAGGCTGCTTATGCAGACAAATGTGTCCATTATGTGAATTTGCATTACAATCCCTACTGGCAGGTTCAAGACATTACATTCTATAATTGTTTTGGTTATTCACTGAATTGCTCTTGGGGTCTAAATAGCCCTCTACAACGATATGAATCACAACTTTTATTCATACTCTTGGGTCTTTCGGTAAAGTCACGTAGATAGGTTCAAAGAAAATAATAAAAACGTCATCATGACGATTGCTTGTGTTGCGATCGAAACGTCAGTTTTGTTTTCTTTGAACCCATCTATGTGACTTTACCGAAAGACCCAAGAATATGAATTCCTGCAGTCACGAAAGCTTTAAGTCAAGATACAACCCTTATTGTTTAGCAGCCTATACTACCTCTAGAACAAATAATGTATATAGCCAAATGATGTTACCATGTGTCTTAAATTGTATAGATTATATATTGCTTGAACGGATTTAAGAAACCAGATTGCTTTGCTCAAGCAAAATAATAACCTGTTTGCTATTCTCACAACATATTCTTTCAGGTGCTGGGGATGATACTGACTTGCTGCTTATACAGAAGTATCAAGTTAGACCCCTACTATTAAAAGAATGACAGGAACCTGCATTTTGATAACACATTTTTGTGAATCAAACATGTCATAATTCTTACCCACTGAACTGTACCTATAGTATTAATCTACTAAGCACACTGTATACTATAAAACTTGCATAGGAAATAGCTATTTGAAACATTAACATTGACTTAATGTATATTTACAGTCAGTTTTGTGTTTATACTCGTAGTTTGTGTTTAATGTTAATATACCATGATTGTATTAAAACAGGACAATGCAAAGGTTAAAGCTACATCGTTTAAATGTGCCTTAATCATTGGTAGATGTCACCAAATAATATCCAGCAGCATAGAGATGGATACAATTAACTGTTAAACTGCATATTCATTTAATAAAGTTTTTTAAAAGTATTTGCATATGACCATATACTTTTAAACAAAGCATGTTACAGCAAATATAGGAAATCAACAAAATGAGCAACAAACATTTTATTAAACTTTAAATGTACAATGCAAAACTTTAACTTAAATACTGGTGGAATGAACATGTAATAATTCTCACGGAAAACAAAAAAAGAGATTTTGTATTCTGTAATGCAATGATTGCGGTTGCCATTTTCGCTCATGTAATTTTTCAGCCGATTGAGGAAAGTAATGAAAATGTGGCCGAATATATGCCCAATCTTTTATCATTCTTTGCCATGGGGAAAAAACGTTCAGGCCTTGTGTAGCAAAGTTATTTCTCCAAAGGTGCGTAGTTGAGTAGTTTTTCAATCAGGTCGACATGAGAGAGCAGCATGCGGCGACAGCAGTATCTCTTCAGTCCCAGGGCATCCAGCGCATCTCTGCACACACGAGTCAGGAAGGCACGGTCACGAGATGACTTGCACAAAGTGAAAACCAAATGATGTATGAATACATTTAACCATGGATCATATATGAACGCACAACACTTAGTCAACGTACCCTTCTGTGTATTCGGCCTGCAACAGACCCAAGTAGGCTTCCCACTTATTGCCGACCACCTTCCCGCACGTGAAGCACCGCACCGGGATAATCATCTTGTTCTGCTGCTGCTGCTGCCATTCCAAGGGAAATAAAAACGTGGCTCATGTTTAAAGATGCCCTGCAGTACTACAAGATAAACTATTTTTTATCAGAGCTGCTCAACTTTAAATATCACTAAAGTGCAAGAGTTGGTATGACAGGGTAATAGCACTTCATGTTCATAAATAGATGGTACATATAGTTTTACCTCTGATGGGGGCTGTTTTCTCTTAACTTACGACTCACCACCTGCCCATAAACAACCTTAAAAATCCACCTTGCCTCAAAATGTGCATATCCCAATTTATATAGCAAATTTAAATGTACAGTCGTTGCATTTAAGTGCAGTACAAATTCCTGTTTTATTGAAAACATCAAAGGATATCTGTTAAGTATGTAGTGACATCGCACGATGTCACTGTGCGGTGCCGGCCCTAGAGACGCACAGCGTGCCGTGTATTGACATCGCGGACACCACTTGGATGTGGGTGCAGTACCGGCCCTAAAGGGACTCGGTGAGCTCTGATCGATAGCGCTGGATGGTACCATGCTTGGCGTGCAGTTCCGGCCCCTACAGGATAGGGTGTGGGAGTCCTGGCCATGGAAATGGGGTTACTATAGGCCATGGCACTCTGGTTGACCCCAGAGGACACGTGACCAGTTAAGTCTACACAGGGGCTCCAAGTGGGGGCAAGGGGTGGTCACGTGTCAGGGTCGAGATCCTGCTCAAGGATTCTAGAAGGTGGTCGTGGCCAAGGGCGGAGCCAGCCACACCAGAGGATATAAGCCGGGTCCCCCAGAGAGCCCGGCGCTGTTGTTCAACCTGAAGATACCTTCGCCTACGTCCTACAGAGTCTCCAACACATGGACCTGGACCCAAGCTGTGGTCTGGTTCGTTGTAGCTAGTTACGGTGTAATTAGTGTAGTTAGCCTGGTGGTCCCCACCACAAGTTGTTATCCTGTTAAGGGGCATTTACCCCGTGTGTTGGTGCTAATGTGTTGCCTCCAAAGAGTACGTCTGTGACTCAGTTGAACCCACTACAAGTGTACTGGGGTCGCTACCACAACACAAATATGCGGGTTTACATATCGGCCAAGGGTCACCAGCCCAATCACCGTCACCATCATCGCTGGGTAGGTTAGACGGACACCACATGAGAATGCACTATCGTGCTTGGAATTAAATGGTATTGCAGTTATGCTAGGGGAGGCGGGAGTTAAATTGGCACACCTTGACTTGGAAAAAAGTAATTAGTGTGATATAATTGAGTAATAAGCTCACGGACACTACAGGAGTTAAATGTGGAACACCATAACAGCATCCAAACCTGCCACTCTATTCTAGATAATCGCGAAACGTTTGGCATGGTGGGGTCAAGATCTTGCAATGCCCGTGTGAAGGTATGGTAGAGATGCACAACGCATTCTGGGTATTTCCAACATGGGGGCAAATAGTGTGTTATGTACAATGACAGCTTTGCGCAATTAATTTCCAGTGCAAAAAAATTAAACCAACCGAAATGTACAAGTTTGCAATAAAGTTTGACGCCATATCTAGTGCAAAATATAAAAATAAAAGTTGAAAGTGATGACATGAATATAATAAGCCCTGCAACAGCGGTGTAAGTCATTGTTTAACGTGGTTAATGCTTTCCTGAAAAGTTATGCGTTAAGCCATTTTAGATTTCCTCCGAAAAATAATGTAACGATAAAGTCTGGCGAGATAAGATGTACTGTACTCACACAGTAAGATGGCAAGACAAATAATCGAGGATACGCTGCCGAGTACTGTATCATACTGCTTAGCCGCAGAGCCCAAGAAAGTTCGGAGTCGACTCAGAAGCCGCGTTATAACAGGCGCGTTCCGCGTTGTGCGAAGTGTTCTCTAATGAGTGAACCGCGTTATACAGAAAACGCGTTGTAACAGAGGTTATCGTAATCCTCAAACAAAAGTCCACGACATCAAGGTGTTAACAAGGCCGATGGAGAAAATGCGTACGTGTTTCAGGAGAATAACTCGAAACATAGTTTCATTCATTTCACATGGAAAATTAAGAAAGGTGCAGTTGTACTATGAACCGTTTTACACAGCGCAGTTTTGTAATATTTAAACCTTTGCAAGGGTGCTCCCGAAGCAGGAATTCAGGGGCCATATGAGACCACGTCTTTGTACTCAATGTCTTTGTATTCAATGTCCATGTCTACGTATCTACATTCCAAGTCTTTGTAGCGCACTGTCTATATCTGGAATACATAATCAACGATTTTTGGGTTTAGATCGCGTTTATTTATAAATGTGTCGTAACCCTCCACCACCCGACACGGCCAATCAGTAAAAAATGTGTCACGTTGACAAAGACAAATAGTTCACTGCTTTAGCCCACCGGTGTGTTGAAGCAACAACATGCACAATTTGAGTATTACGTTACTCAAATTGTGAATGTTGTTGCTTCAACACACCGGTGGGCTAAAGCAGTGAACTATTTGTCTTTGTCAACGTGACACATTTTTTACTGATTGGCCGTGTCGGGTGGTGGAGGGTTACGACACATTTATAAATAAACGCGATCTAAACCCAAAAATCGTTGATTATGAATAACATTGGTCGCGAAAGCCTACGTGTTAAACTATATCTGGAATACCTGCCTCTGTACAAGATCTGCCTTTTTCTCAGTCTGCGTATAATTCCACGTGTCCTGTGTATGTCCTTTCTTGTCTCTGTATCTATCCCATAGATGCCTGCCTCTGTGATTGCATCTCCTCGTCTCTCTCTCTCTCTGCTTGTACATGTACACGTCCTCGTCTCGCCGTCTCGTTCCCTGTCGCATTGGGCCCTAGTCTCCTCGCCTGTTGTCTCACTCGTGGTCTCTGTCTAGCTGTTGTCTCAAGTCTCCGTGTATGTCTCAGTGTCCGTGCCCTGCTGTCCATGTATCAGAGTGTAACCCCCTCGTCTGTCTCGCTCTCGTTCCAGTTGTACGTGTCGTTATCTCGTCTCTCACCGTTTCTCCCCTGTCGGTCTATGTATTTGTCAGTCTGTCTCTCCTCGCTCTGCACGTGTCTAAGGAGTAACAATTCTCTCATCTCGCTCTGTACGAGTCTAAGGAGTAACAATTCTCTCATCTCGCTCTGTACGAGTCTAAGGAGTAACAATTCTCTCATCTCGCTCTGTACGAGTCTAAGGAGTAACAATGTAGCTCTGTACGAGTCTAAGGAGTAACAATTCTCTCATCTCGCTCTGTAAGAGTCTAAGGAGTAACAATTCTCTCATCTCGCTCTGTACGAGTCTAAGGAGTAACAATTATCATCTCGCTCTGTACGAGTCTAAGGAGTAACAATTCTCTCATCTCGCTCTGTACGAGTCTAAGGAGTAACAATTCTCTCATCTCGCTCTGTACGAGTCTAAGGAGTAACAATTATCTAATCTCGCTCTGTACGAGTCTAAGGAGTAACACTTCTCTCATCTCGCTCTGTACGAGTCTAAGCAGTAACAATTATCATCTCGCTCTGTAAGAGTCTAAGTAGTAACAGTTCTCTCATCTCGTTCTGTACGAGTCTAAGGAGTAACAATGTAGCTCTGTACGAGTCTAAGCAGTAACAATTCTCTCATGTCGCTCTGTAAGTCTAAGGAGTAACAATTCTCTCATCTCGCTCTGTATGAGTCTAAGGAGTAACAAAGTAGCTCTGTACGAGTCTAAGGAGTAACAATTCTCTCATCTCGCAGCGACACGAGGCCTAGGCCGCACCAACCCGGGCCTAGCTCCGCAGGCTGCAATAGCAACAACAAACTTCGCGGCAAAGTTAACGTTACTATTATCATATTACAAAAATAACGACCACGAAGAACAAGCAGCAGCAGCAAACCCCCCATCAGACAACAACAAACTTTACAGGGTTAACTAAAAACTAAATACAATTGAATACGTTTACCGGCGAAACGCTTCGCCACACGCTCAGAGGCTGGCTGCTGGCTGGGGCTGCGCTCACGCGGGATCCGTCATCGGAAACTTAGCGACGCGCGAGCGCTCGCCCCGCCCACGTGCAGCGGGCAGCCTCGCACGTGGCCACATCGATGTCCATCGATCACCGCAGTCACAGCCACGTGCCGATTGCACTGCTGATGAACACACAATCACATCCGTATGCCGATCACAAAAATCCCATCTATGTGCATATTGCACTAATAATCATCACAATCTAATTAGTATGCCTATTACACTGTTGACCACCACAATCCAATTCGTATGCATATTGCACTATTGATAACAATAATCCCATCCAGGTGCCGATTGCACTGTTGATGAACACACAAACCCATCCAGGTGCCGATTGCACTGTTGATGAACACACAGACCCATCCAGGTGCCGATTGCACTGTTGATGAACACACAGACCCATCCAGGTGCCGATTGCACTGTTGATGAACACAGACCCATCCAGGTGCCTAGTGTACTGTTGATGAACACAATCCCATCCAGGTGCCTAGTGTACTGTTGATAAACACACAATCCCATCCAGGTGCCTAGTGTACTTCTAGATTTAAAGCTTTCGTGACTGCAATGATTCATATTCTTAGGTTTTTTCGGTAAAGTCACGTAGGTAAAAACATTAAAAAGTATTTTATCTTATTTTACTTTTTAATGTTTTTGCCTAGTGTACTGTTGATGAACATACAATCCCATCCAGGTGCCGAGTGTATTGTTGATGAACACACAATCCCATCCACGTGCCGATTGCACTGTTGATGAACACACAATCCCATCCGTATGCCTAGTGTATTGTTGATCACAAAAATCCCATCTATGTGCCTATTGCACTAATAATCATCACAATCCAATTCGTATGCCTATTGCACTATTGATAACAATCCCATCTTTTTGGCCATTGCACTGTTGATCACCACAATGCCATTCGTATGCCGCTTGCACTGATCACTATAATGCCATATATGTGCCGACTGCACTTTTGACATTATTATTAGAATGCTGCATGTTGTTAGAATGCAGCAATCCAGTGAAGTTGAAGTGACACGCGGGAACGACACGACTTTAAAGGGCGATGCTCAGTGGCAATAGGGAGGTCAAGCACAGACCATGAGATTCATAGAAGACAGTCTTCGCAGAGGCGACAGAGACACACAGACATGGAGCGACATGGAGAGAGACACAGCGTGACACGGAGAAAGAATTCGACAAAAATCAAGACGACACCCTTAACCGCTCCTTTAAGAGTGCTGCTGTGTACGGCAATTGTCTCATCAATCAGGTGATCAATGAGGTGCAGTCATTAGAAGCGTCCAGCTGGACCCTGCAGGGCATTAACAGACACTCGAAACTGAAACTGATAGTGCGTAATAAAAATCCGTGTTGCGTGGAAAGTCGAGGAAAGTTCCCTTCCTCCTCCTGGCAGCACGGATGAGGAGGAGCAGCCCCCTGCCTGGGTTACGTCCCCCACCAGCCCGGGGCGAGCGAGGGGGCGGCTTGGGGCTCCGCCCGTCCGGCACGAGTTGCGTCTACCTAGAAGAGGCCCCCACAACCCCGAGTCCCGAAGCCAAGAAGAGTCCTCGTAGCGCAGAGCCAGAAAACTGCGTGAATTCACTCTACGCCGGTGTGGACAGCGAGCGAGAGAGAGAGCGAGCGAGCAGCACAATCTTCATCATCACCGTGATTGTGAGTGCCCATTGTTCATTGTTGTCACGTGATGTTGTCCCGTGTGGTGCGTGCGGTTCAGTTATTTGAACGATTTCCCGATAAATTTAATGTCGGGAATAGACATTAGCAGCCGAGTGCGATCGCGGCTTATTGGACATAACGAGTCAGCATCGTCGTCCTGAGCCATCGTCACTGCAGAGTGAATGCTGTCGCACGTAACGGGAGTTAGAGGGTGGTCCAGATAGTCTTGTGACCCCCCCCCCCCCCCATTTAATTCTCCAAAACGTAATAATTAAAATGTAAGTAAGGTTTATTCAAAACATAAGTGAATATGTAAAGGAGGGAAAAAAAGCTTAGGAGTAAATTAAGTTGGGGTCACAAGACATCTGGACCACCATGTACAGTTCTGTAAAAAACTACAAAAATGTTTGGCTCAAGAATGTGTCAACGAAGGCTGTCGTATTCATACGGTTACTCCATCTACGAGATAGTTTACACTGGGAATTATTTATCCTGTGTAGTGAGATGGTATCTTGCGATGTCCCAACTTCGGAAAGTGAAAAGTCGTCAAACTAACTTTAAAAGTCACAAGATAGCCTTTTCTAAAGTCAAAAATATCCCAATTTACACAGTAACATGATACAGGGTACGTAATGCATAACTGGAATCGATCCTAAATCTGTACAATGCCCTCGTTGCAAAGAGTACAGTACCGTAAGTTAGATTATCCGTAGGTATCTTTTGTACAGAAGAAAAAAATCACTCGGGAAACCCAAAACTTCGCTCAGATCTCAGTTAGCAACACTGCTCCTCTGTCAGCCAGGTGAGATGCTTATAGTGTGGAGTGAATTGTTTACCACGGAGTGCACCTACGGTGCAGCAGACATATGGTTTAAGTTGGCTGCCGAGACAAGCTGTAATATTTGTTCCGTTATGTTGGAATTATGTCAAAGTTGTTTTTTTTATACTGTAGAGTCTGACTTTAGTTTAACTTTCTGTAACTTTACACAACCTTTGTATATGTTACTCATTCATCACAGCAAAACAATGTATATGCAGTAAATAAAATACTGTCTCGACACTTATATTTATATATAAGCAGTATATGTTTGATGTGTAAAGTACTATGCGGTACGTCCGGAACATGTAATTAAACTACTGTATTAGCAAAACGTAAAACCCCAACTTTGTATCTTGCTATATTCTTGGTTCTTTCGTTAAAGTCACGTAGATAGAAAAAAAAATCTAAAGTAAAAGCAAAAAACCCACGACGTTTCGATCGCAACACTTTACAAGAGTATGTGTGAAGGCGCAGCCCCTGCAAGTTCTTGCTCACGCCACAGCTTGCGGAAGGGCTCCCACTAGAGGGAGCTCTAGAGAGCCCTCTCTCGAGGGTGTGTGTGTCTGCTCAGCCACACTGGCCAGCAGACTTGGGGATGATGATGAGAATACCCACGCCTCACTCCACCACACTCGACCTGTCCATCAACTACACACAGAGGAGACGTGAAGAGGCAAGATATTTGCCCCATCGTTCCAACTGCAAATCCAGCGTGCTCACAATTGCACCGCGGCAGCATCCCAATTTGTAGGTATCTGTTGTAGCGTCAGCTAAATTGCCCTTGTATATAGCATCACGGAGCACAATTGCATTTAGAGCGCATCTGAAAGTAATTTTCTCTCGAAAGATCACGAGCCTCAGAGCCACGCCTGCAAAAGTTAACTGCCTGCGTTGTGAGGCCCACGTTGTGCCCAGATGCCTTGCCAAACTTCTCAGAATGTGCCTTGAGTTCCTTGGAACGTACATTTTCTGCTTTGTAGTTGGGTTTTGTGGAATGCATACAAAATCTGGATAAGAAAAATATCTTATTACACAGTACACTTGCAAATTGTGGGCTTTTTGTGTGTAAATATATTGCTCTCCCCCAACTACCCACTGACTATCATCAAGTAGGTGAAGTGCTTGATAATAAAATACTGTGACTACAAACGGTGTTATCCCTTCATCAAGCCACTGTTGGATGTGGAGGTCTCCCCACGCCGTGTCGTCATAAGGGTTGTTTTGACCATACTTCCCCACGATGGGTCGGTGCGGGTTGATGATATGGAGTGGGCACTAGATTAACATAAAACAGTGACCAGTATGCCACTGCTCCCCATTATAATACAGTAATTTTAAATGGTGTACTGTAGTGTATTATATAGTCAAAATATTTCTTCCCTTTTCAAAGTTCCTCCGAGAAATAACAATAGTGTAGTGTATTACTTTATCTTGCATTTTTACAAATGTTTGAAATGTTGTGTACTGTAGTTTGGATTTAGTACTTTATTTGAGAACACAAGCTCAAACGCACCAAAAACAAGGCGGTTTTTTTAAACTTCCAGAACCAGGCGTACTCTGCGTAAGATCATATCTCAATTAGATGTGCCTCAATCCAGAATGTTGCTGTGCATAAGATGGCTGTGGAAAGTTTCATGGGGGGGGGGGGGGGGGGGGACTTCCTTCCCGTGTGAAAATGGAGTTAATGAGGTCTGTGGAATAATGATGTCACGACCAACACTGAGCACACGACAAAACGTCGAAAAAACAGCAGCAATGCCTGAAGTTTGACGCTTGTGTTTGTCCCTCGCTTGGGGTTCGTATTGTGCATTTCCATGCACCCATGGTTGTATTGTTATTTGTACAAGGTTTAACTAAATTAAATACAGCCTATGCTGTGTCTAAATTACAGTGTTTTAGCACTATATATAATTGCTCGTTCAGCTGGTACCATGCCTTCATGAATTACATTGGTAAAGTTTCTCGGCCAACTTCCCAGGGTCGACAATTTAACGAGAATGCTGATATAATTGCTTGTTAACGGAATTAACAATTTAAATAAAAAATTGCATTTATATTGTATAATGTTGAGCGGCTCAGAGGTCAGAGCTCTGATATTATCATCCTGGTAACCAGTAACTGTACAAAGAAAATAACGTTAGATTTGGTTCTGAAATGAATTTGGTTAAATTACAGCTCTGAGAATGTAAAATATCACTTTGAATGTCATGCAACAACATTACAACATTACACGTATATTCTTTGGAAAGATTTCCTGCAATCACGAAAGCATCACAACAACATTACACGTATATGTATCGTATAGTATGTAGGGAAGTCCTGCTCTGTAACGTGTGGACCAGGGGTCACTGAAAGGGATCTTGGAGGTGACTCTGTCCACTTCCACAGACAGTTTCTAACAAAGGGTTGCACTGCTCTGCAAGAGATTTGAATGGATACTTCATCTCGTGACGTCACAATGAAAGCCCACTCAGGATATTATTGAAGGAATCGCACTAAATGGTATGAACACATTTTTTGACGGTTGGTGTACTCTTACAAC